GTTTCACGAAAATTCCTTTAAAATCTGTCACAATCTTGTTATTTTTAATTGGACTCTATATAAAACGATTTATTTTTTTTAGACAACAATATCACTTATCTAATAATGTACCGTGATGTATTTAGTATAGTATCAGTTAATTTATTTTGTTTTACAGATACATTTAATATGAAAAATGAGAATTGAATAAGGATCAGGAGAATAGCAACAAAAAAAAATTAATATTTTTATGAGTTAAACATCATATATTATTTTTTTCAATGGTAATATCTTTATTATCAATAATATGCACCACCTTTTTCTCGATCATCACCACGTTTGTCGGGATAATTACGATAACGATATTCACCTTTGTATGAGTAGTTACCTTATCGATCACCACCTTCAGACCGACGAGTTAGATGCACCTTTGGCAAAGCTGGTCCTACGTTAATTTTATGCCCGTTTATCACATGTTGTCCTTGATGAATTATAGTCTTCACAGGTGCACATCTATAAATCATACGTGTAAAGTTAAAAGGAAATTAGTTCCCATGTCGTCACTTTTTTAACAACTGCGTCGCAGTTGCGCGTAACTGCGAAATTTTGATCATAACTGCGCATAACTGCGGCGCATTGATCGCAGCAAAAAATCATATGTTCGACTACGATCGACTGCGACGTAGTTACGCGTAACTGCGAATAAAATATTGCAGTTGCGCGCAGCTACGGTAAAAAATTCGCAGTTACGCGTAGCTGCACCGCAATTACGGGTCACAGTGCGATCGCAGTTACGCGTAGCTGCACCGCAATTACGGGTCACAGTGCGATCGCAGTTACGCGTAGCTGCACCGCAATTACGGGTCACAGTGCGATCGCAGTTACGCGTAACTGCGTCGCAATTCGATCGCATTCGAACACATGGGATTCATCTATTACTCATCAAACTCTACAAAACCAAAGCCACGACATACGTCACCTTACAAATCTTGTTTCTTTTTTGGATGGAGCTTCATTCGATAATTTTTCTCGGAAGAACTTTGCTATATCTTTAGCTTTTTCTTTCGATAACGAATGTGGATATTCCATTAAATGTTCTTCTCTAAAGTTGTATGTTAGAAGAGTTACTTCAAAGAAAGTATGACTCACAGATTGTCCCAGTTTAAATCATTACGATTACAATATTGTCCATGGGGACGAGGAAATGGAAAATCAGTTCGTTTTGTTTTCTTGAAAGATATTAGTTTCTAGATCTAAAATTATAGAATGAAGATGAACAGCATCAGATCATTATGGAATCTTGTGTAAAAAATAAAACCAATCGTTTATTCATCATTTATTTTAATTGAGAATGAATCTTAACTATTAATTAAAAATTACTTTCTCATAACTAACTAGTTTTCTATTCATGAATAACAAAATTTTAAACTATAAAATATAAACTTGAATCATTTTGATCAAGTTTTCTTTTGGCCATGTTAACGGAATATTTGATACGTGTAAACATAATGTATTATTACCATGATCAATTATCTCTACTTAGTGATGATAATGATGAATTATTCTAAAAACAAAATAGAGGAAGTGTAATAAAAAAAAACGAACTTACTTTATTTGAAATACTTACAGTTCGAGTAGATCATGATCATTTGCCATTCATCTATATTTAAATAAAAATTTATTCAATTTTGCAATTTTTAAGAGTAATTTTTATTTTATTTATACAACGATAATAATTATAAAGGATATTTCTTATAATTAAAGCAAAAAATGATAAGAAAAAAAAATGATTTACACTTGGCTGATGTTATGATGAAGTTGTATCTGATGAGTATAATGATCGATCAAGATCAATATTAGCAAACGAAGATGCAAATGAGACCAACCAAACAATAGGTGGTAATGGTAATGCTAGTAATGTCGGTAAATGAGAATCTTTTGAACGCGTTGATATAGAAGAAAATAATTTTTGCACTGATGATTAAGTGCATAATCATCGAGACGATGGTCGCAATCATCGTCCTACCTTTTTTAATTTTGTTTAATCATAATAATATTTATAAAAATATATTCTTACAGCAAAACTCGAACAGTAGTAATAACTACCGATGTGTGTTGTTGATAAGATCTTTTCTATCATTACCTTCGAATTTAGCCAAATGAAATAAAATTTAATTTTCATCATTTTGTCTTATTACAAGTTCGACGATAACAGAAAATGATTATACATATATACACGTCCGACGACAATATTAACCTGGTGAACTATGCATCGAATAGAGAAATGAAAAACAAAGAATCCAGGAATCAACATTTATATCTATACGGACAAAACAAGTCTGAGAGAAGGAAAAACAGATCGGCTATATTGTTATTTAACTAATATGAAATATCAAAAAACCACTAAATTTTAATGTATATGTCCTAGACAAAATTAAACTTAGGTAGAATTCGTTTTTAATTAGGCGCAAAACTTCAAAATAATTTTCTTTTATTTAAAAATAAATTCAAATTTCATTTGCATTAAGAAAACATGGCACGTACTTGTTATTTGTAACTAGACAGACTATTCATTTTCACTAATTCATGTTTTCATATTTGCACCAATGATCTCTTCTGCGTCAACATCGAAAAATAATTTTCAAAAATATTTCTATGAAGAAGCGAAGTAACATTTAAAATTTTTGGACCATTAAATTCCAAGAGAAGGCAGTTACTATTCTACCACAGGGAATACATAAGCTAAAAACTTCTTCATTTGTTTTGGTTGGAACATAAATCAATAAAACTTAACAGCATGATATATTAACACTTTACATAACATCTATGAACTATGTTAAATTCAAAGATAAATAAACATCGATAAAAAATACAACTCAAAAAGTATAAACTTAAAGATTTTGTCTTTTTTTCTCGGTCGGAACTTGCCAAGATAAACCAGATTTGAATTGAGAACCAGTGGCGACGCCAGAGAGAGGCGGCGGGGGCTGAGCCCATCCCCCCATCCCGGAATCTTCTTAAAGTTCATTTTATCATTTTTTACTTAACAAGTAACAATAAGATTGTGAGCTTTCAACCTCAACTGAGGTCATCATCAGGCATATGAATATACAATGTATACCTATTTATATATTGTATATTCATATTAGCTGAGGTTGAAAGCTCACAATCTTATCGTGCCTAACTAGTTAAAAAATATAGTCTTTAGAAATGCAGCCTGACAAACGTAGGACTATAGAGTCCTTTTTTTTCTTCTGCTAATAAGAAAAAACGCAATGATGAACAACAAACTGAATCGAATTTGATTAATTCACCATCATCATCATTTTCTTCTGAATTGCAAAAGCCTCCATCTACTTCTTCCTCATCTGATGATCAAATTACATCTGATCTTGTTTTGGTCACTTCGTCGTCTTCTCTCAAAGCCTCTGTTTCTTTAAATGAAAGTGTTCGAACAAAATCTGTTCCATATGATATTAGAGCATTGTGTAATGATCCTCCGGTTCAACCAGTATTGAAAAATTATCCCATAAATCATCAAAAACGTTCATTTCAGTCAATATTGTATAAAGACAGACCATGGCTAGAGTGCTCTGTCAATCATGATGCGTGTTATTGCTACAATTGTCGGCACTTTCATCTAATAAATTGAATATTGGTGATGTATTTAACAATTCAGGATTCGCTAATTGGAAGAAATCGTTGATGATTGGTGATGGCCTCATAAAACATGCATCATCTCAATCACATATCATTGCAACAAAAAATTATGAATCATATAAACAACGACGAGAAACAAATTCGAATGTTATTAACAGACTAGGTTCTGGCCGTCTTATTCAGATTTGTAAAAATTGTGATCTCCTAATGAAGATATGTTCATTGTTACATTTGTTAGGACGTCAAATGATTAGTTTTCGAGGCTACGAGGAGAATGAACGGTATGTAAATTCAATTCGTCTTTGAAAAAGCCAGAGAGCTATAAAGAATGAAACGCACAAAAGACATAAAAAAGAACTGAGTCGCCGAGATTGAAGAAGAAAACACGTTCTCTAGATGATACACCTTCTTTTCTTATAACATCTTTTTCTCGTTTTTTTTCTGTATCACAGAAGCTCGAATCAATGGAATTTCTTGGAGATTCTTTGTTGGACAGTAACAATCGATCCGTCGGTGAAAGCCATTTTTGATGATTCTACGAGTAATGCCACTTATTTAAGTCATGATATCCAAAATGAATTGATCAATATTATGGCTGATCAAATTCGTGAAGAAATTCCATTCATGGTAAGTCGAGATTGTTTTATTGTTTTTACCATCAAGTTACTCTCCACTATTGTTTTAGTTAAAGAATTACAATTATGCACTGATGGCTGACGAGTGTCGAGACATAAGTGGCACACAACAATTGTCCATTGTCATTCGGTTTATTTCTGATACAAATAATCGTCCAATTGATAGTTCAAATGTGGTGAAAGAATATTTTCTTGGGTTGATTACATTCCAAGAATTTGATGCTGAAACATTAGCGAACAAAATTGTCGAGTTTTTGAACAATTGGAATATTCCTTTAAAATCATGTATTTGTTTATGTTTCGATGGGTGAGTTATTGTCCGTTTCCTTGCTAATCAACAAACTATTAAAAACTATTTTCTTCCTCATATTTATAGTGCATCAGTAATGTCCGGTTGTCACGCAGGAGTTCATGTTCTACTAAGAAAACACGTGCCAAAGGGAGTATACCTACACTGTTCAGCTCATCGTCTTAATCTTATTATCTGTGACACATGTAAAGTTGTATCTTATTTGCCGGATTATTTTACAATTGTTGCCAATATTCGTACATTTTTCACCGAATCTGGCGTGACTGACTCATATTTCAAAGAAGCACAACAACTATTGGATTTAGGTGATTATTCTGTTTAGCTTCTCTTAAAATACAACTTTTAAAAACTTTATTTTCATTGTTAGCTCAATCTTCGACACTCAAGTTATGGGCCAACACTCGTTGGGATTCAAAATGGACAGCTATCGACGCTATTATCAAGAATATCCTGCTATTATAAAAGCACTGGACGATATTAGTGAAGAAGACAGTGATACACGATCGACAAATGCAGGTGGGTTGTTAAGACATGTGAAAAAATCAATGTTTATTATTACTTCATTCATTCTTCACAAATGGTTTGGTTTAATCAAAGTCTTGAGTGATCATTTGAAGAGTAAGCCGATTATTTTTCTTTCTGCACAAGCTGTTATCTTCTTTTTTCTCAAGATCCGTCGTTAGACTATATATGTGGTGAATATCTTATATTATCGATTATTCAACAAATAACAGACCTTCGTAATGAACAAACATTCAGTGAAATTTATGATAAGGCAAACGAATTTTGTAATGTAAATCATGTCGATTTAGTACAACAGTATCGATCACGTCGAAAGACAGTAGTTCCAGCTAGATTTCAAGAATGCTTGATCGATTCAACACTTGGACAACGTGAAATGTTATCAACATTAACAGATTTCATGAGTCGAATTTATTTTCCTCTGATTGATTGTATGCTAACGGAATTGAATGACAGATTTTCATTAAAGACTTTATCATTGATGAAAAATATTTCTACAGTTTATCCAGAAAATGAAAACTTTCTGAATATTGATGCTACAGATGACTTTAGTCGTCATATCGATGGAGATTCAAGTGAATTAAAAAGTGAATTAAATATCATCAAATCTATGCATATGCGTCAACCTCTCAATGATATTATTCAATTTTTGAATGAATTACTGCCAATGTCAACTGCATTTCCATAAACATTACGTATGATTAAAAGTGCCATAACAATGCCAATTTCGCAAGTAACTTGCGAGAGATCCTTCTCGAAGATGAAGATAATTAAGAATTATCTTCGAAATTCAATGACTGATCGACGTTTAAGCGATTTGACAATATTGGCTGTTGAACACGATTTTGATATTGATTATGAACGGGTAATAGATAAATTTTCAATTAATCACAAGAACAGCAGGATTTTGTTGTGTTAAGTTGTATTGTCTGATGTTTTGAATAAAGTTAGTCAAGTTCTTTGCACATAAATAGGAATGTTTTATTCAGTATAGAGCAAGTAGCATTATTGAAGAGTCAAAATACTGAAAAAAAAAACTTCCATTACACTTTAGGTTTTGAAGTATACTGGGGGGGGGGAGCTCAGCCTCCCTCCCGTGCCAAAAATCCTGGCACCGCCGCTAAATAAATGTCAGTTGGTATGTTAATAGCTGTCTAATGCAAGTCTTCAAAATTGTATCAGAATGTAGACAAAAGAGTGGCCTTTGAGATCTCATTTTTCATGGTGACAAAGCAAGACCCTATGTTCGCGTGACTTCTGCTTGTTCCCAAAACTGAAACATCAATTACGAGGAATTCAATTCGACGACGACGACAACACAATGTTCAATGCATTAGAACCAGTCATTAACAGTCATACAAACGATAAATTTAAAAAACGACTTCAATGATTGATTTGTTCGAATGCACATATGTATTGATGCTCTGAGGAAGCGTACTTTGAAAAACTACACTAGAATCATCCTTTGAATATTTATCCGAAGGGCTGACAAAAAAAAAACGTTTCTAGCGCCTCATGTAACCGCTGAATCATTTATTAATATATTTCGATTTTTTGCCTTTTTATGATACAAAAAATGGATATGAATAAATCACGATACTAGAGCTACAAATAATTATTGAATCTGACGCAAATGAAGAATATTAATGAATCAACCATCTGCAATTGTTTCTTTTGTTATTGTATGATTTGCTGCATGAAATCAATATCTTACAGTTATATTTATTTATCTCTGTATTACTCATAGTATATCATTTTGCTATTTATCTTGAAATTCAATCACTATTGGATTGTTATCGATCTAATCTAATATTTGTTCGTTATTATTCATATTTCTATTAATCAATTTTAATAAACGTTCTTCCGACATTTATATTGTCTTTGTATAGTTTCTTAGTGTTTCATAATGTTCGGAGATAAATATCGATTATTCATCAGGGAATGGATCAACAATTGACATCAATGATTTTGGTATTTGCCAATGGATTTATTATCTAATTTTGATCTAAAAGGATTCATTAGAATCATTTATTAAATACTGAATTACTTTATTCTGTCGTGTTTTCATATCATAATTTGAATTTTGCAGTAAATTTTCAAATTTTTTAAAAATTTGACTATCGTCATCAAGTCAAATATGTATTAGCAAATACATTTTTGCCATGATAGTATCATGCTCGATGAAATCAAGTTAATCTTGTAGTTAAGAACTCGATTCTTTCCAGTATTGAATAGATTTTCTTATTTATTTCACTTCATTCTTTGTTTATAAGTTAGATCTGATGTGTCTAGAATTTTTTTAAAGTTATACACAGGAATCTTATCCTTATGATAACTGTATTATTTTATAGAAAGGAAAAATTGAATAAAGTCATTACTTCGAAAAAAAAAAGAAAACATTTAGTTTATCTGCAATAATCTTTTGTATGACATTAATATAAAATGACACAGTCAAAATCTAAACATGGAAAAAGTGTTATTTATATTATTAAAAGACTTGTATTTTTGTGACCTATAAATGTTATTTATAGAGCGTTATATTTTTATATAACTGTGCCGAAATATCAAAACCTTTTGTATAAACATTTTATTTGTAGAGTCAGTATGACAATTTGATAAAATAAAATATACTTTGTCAGATTTTGACACAGACAGAGTTAAACTAATAGTAAGTACAACAAAAAAATTATCTTATCATCAATAGATAACAATAAAATATTTGTCCTACTATGTTTTAAATTTTGTATTAATTTTTAAAAAGTTTCATCATAGTAATAAATTTCATCCTTCTTAAGAAAAGTAAAATGAACAGATTTTATAAATTTAATCTATCTAATAACATGGTTTCTTAATTATGTATCTACAAAATATGATCATTGCATTCTTTTGTCTTATACGCTACAAAGGTGAGTCACACAAGACGATAAGGACAATAATTTCATCGTGTTAGAATTTGCATTATGCAAGGACGATGTTACTCATGTCCTAGTTATTGCACAAGTATATTTCAATAAATAATCATCATTCTTCGAACGTTCAGTTTTCGAAGTATTGAAAAATTTCATAAAGTATAAAAAGAACAGAATAGTATAATCTATTGAATATATTAATTTTATTGATAATTAATTCTGATTTATATTAAGAAAAAAATTAAGTATGCCATTGAGAGGAATATTTAATAATCCCTTTTAACAACATCTGTAATTACTTCCAACATGGCAAAGATGACTATAAGTTTTTCGATGATTTTTAATTACAGAAAGGAATATATGTAGACTTCTAGAAAAAAACTACCTCTATCTAATAGTATATGCATTTTCAAGTTCTACTGCATATCGTTGCTCTGTCAATATATGGCACTACCTTCACTGCGACCACGGTAGAGTGGGGTACAGCTGGCGTCATGTATTGACGTATCTACAGTACGCAGTAGAACTTGAAAATGCATACACTATTAGCTCTTCTCTAAAATCCGATACATGAAAAATATTCAGACAAATCAAATACTCAGGTACTGATCAAAAAAGAAAACCCTAACGTGTTTCTTCGTTCTAGACTGAATCCACTAACCGGTAGCAGGTTGGACGTATTGCTATGAAACAGGTCAACGCATCAACACATTTCTCTTGTGTACATACATTTACCTTTATGATCGATCATTTTCATCAGTTTTTTAGAGCTATACAAATCTTTACGAATGTGTTTTATCATATTGATTCTATTGATACGATAACTATGATAATTAATATACAAGCAAATGTGCTTTACAAACAATGCTACTTTACTTTACTAGCATTGTCAGAACAAATCCTCAGTGGACTATGACTAATTATGGTACTATTTATCTACCAACAAACCAATCTCCTCTTGCTTCTACTCGATCGTTACTTAAAGCGTTCAATTGGTTCCACACAATGCATTTCTTTTGAAAAATGTCCCATAGGACAGGATGAGATGAAAAATTTTCAGCATCACCCCATCCCATGGGACGATTTTTTTTCGCCTCATTTCATGTGGAGCTCTGGTGGGTGTGGACGCAGGGTATGTGGAATAGAGATATTGCCCTCATCCAGATTCCAAAGGAATTAAAGAATGTAATAGAAGAAAAGGGACAAAGGGAATAAAATTTATAAAAGTCATAGTAGTTTGAAAAGTCGTAAAGTAAAACGAGATAAATTTTCATTTTTCATGAACTCCTCAATTATTTTATACGAATTATTTAATAAAAATTTATATCTGAAAATCTCAACTGACAATCATATATAAAGAAAGATTAAGATTATCATTTTTAAATTTATATGTTTTGTTGTTTCTTAGAAATATATAGATTAACTTAAAAGTTTTAAAATACGTTGATTTTATCAAAAGTAATTTGTTTTTGTTTTTGCTTTATATTGTCATTATCAGAGATACTTTGAAAATACAACGTTAATATTTATTAATCAATTTAATCTTTTTTTTTTTAATACTCATCGATTTCAGAAAATATTTCTTATTAAATAGATTTGTCCTATTTTCTAGTAATATTTGATAGTAGTGAATCAATGATCAGTAAGAAGAATGAATTCAAGAGATTAAATTCACTCGTGTAAAAATGCTTACTCAGTTACGAAGTTACTCATATCAAACAGTGTATTGCGTATATAACTTAGTTATTTTAGTGAAAGATACATTCGTCTTTTAAAATAAGGGCAAATGCAAGAAGAATAACACATTCATTATCTTTTCAGAATTGGTTACGAGAAGTATGTAATTTTTATATCTTCCGACTTATATTTCAGTCTTCAGTTTTAATAGAAATTTTTTATTAATTTTGTTTTCAATACAACGTCATAACAATTCGTTGTAGAGATTTGATAGATTTTTCTTATTAGAAAGAGCAAAGTTGTGTAAAACTTTTTCGTTCAAAATACTTCAAAAAAAGATTGAAAAGAGTTAAGAAAATGTTTTTGACTGGAAAAGTGCCTTGTCACTTCATACAAAATCGATAATGCAACGCCAGTTTTCTAGTAGTATCAGAATATTCGAGTTATAAAAACTACAGGTTCTATAGAAAACAATTTTATTAAAAACTTGATTTTTCCTTCTAAAACATCCAATGAAGTTTAAGAGAAAAACTATATTCTGTTTTATCATCATGTACTTTTGTGGTGGAGTCGCTAAACTCTAATTGGACATAAAGTTTGAGATTTCATTAACTTCGATTGCTGGAAAAAATCTTATTTTTCAAAATTACTTATTATTTGTGAACAATTTTCTCTAGCGAAGAGTGTCAGAAACATGTCAATTTAGACATTCAATCGATAATTTGAATATTTTACTTTCACCTATTTACCATTTGTTTCTAAATTTCAGAAGCATGTTGAGAACTTTTCAGCTTTTGGGAAGTATTTTGTACAAAATGTTTGTACATAGTTTTGTAGTAGAAACTTTGCTCTTTCTAACAAGGAAACTATTAAGTTTCTACGATGAATTGTTGTCACATTATACCGAAAACAAAATTAATATCGAACTTTTACAACATTCACCATTTCGCCGAAAAAAGTTCTCGAGAAATTTATCTATGCAATAGAGTATTACTTCTGAGTGATGCAATAACATAGCTTATTAGAAAGTCTAACATCGTCTGGCAATTTCAGTTGGAATAAACCTCATTTTCTTTTTTTTATAGACTATTCATAAGAATTTTTATTGTAAGTTTTATATCATAAAAATATAAACTAATTTGATTATATGGACTTTATACTTGCTGATAGTCAATTTAAAATATAACGTATTATTTCTAATTTATAATCAGTTATTTCTGTAGGTATTTTGGATTTTTCTTTTTTTTTCGTATTATACATAATATCATGGATGAAATCGAAAGAAAGATTGTATTACAAATATGTACACTACAATATGTTGGTATTTATGATTAATATATTCTAGACAAAAAAAATATATATATATAAAGATGAATTTCTTTTTAAACTTCCTCAAATATTTGATTTTCATTTAGTCTCAATGCAATTTTAGATCAAAGAAGTATTACTCATTTAAATTCGATAAAATCTTGTCAAATAATAATGATAACATGAAATTTAAGAAAAACAAAATAAGAAATGATTTACAACCAAATTAAAGATAAAACATGAATGATAAGTTTTTTTTTTCATGACTATGATTTATATCAATTTCTTTTTCATCGATATAGGTTAACATGACGCTCTCAGATAAAATAGGTCTTCATCATAATATAAAATCAGTATATGTAATTGAGAAAACTTTAAAAAGAAAAATTTTCTTTTGTCAATATTTTTCTTCGACAAGAAAAAACTTCAAAAATAATTCATTCTTTCTTCTGAATCAATTTCATAATAACATGGATGATTTTTTTATTGTCATTCAATGTAAGATTTCATACGTAGAAAAGAAAATACGTACGTATTATTTTACTGATTCAATTACTTACGATTTGATCAATAATTTAGTAAATGAGAAGAATATAGTTTTGTCATATTGTTATGAAATGATGACGTTAGAAAAAAATGAAAATAAAAGGAATATCCACAGTTTGATTTTATTACGTTAGGTATAGTTTTTTTTTTCTTTTATTTTTTTACTACTAGATAAGAATCCGTAAAATATTTTTATGAGTCAAATTTCCCACTGACGTATTACACATCGTGTATTGACTATTTTTTTCGATCTTTACTACTAACATCCATATATAAGCAAGAAATTTGATGATTTGTCTATTTTTTTCTTTTGTTGTGAATGTTTGCTGACGCGAATGTGAATAAGCTTTTGTGTTCTGTCATAAGAAACAAAAAGAAAAAAGGCGGAGGAGTTTACGTAATTATTATCAATATATACATATATATATATATATATATAAATTATAATATTTCCGGCTTTTTTAGATCACTATTTAATAATTTATGGCAGTTTGTGTTGCAAAACAAATATTATCTGAAATGTCAACCATCGAATCTCCTCGAAAGTTACTTCGTGCTGTAACTTATGATCCAATGATTTCGTCCATGAAAGATCGTAAACGACTTATAAGCGAACAAAATGAATACTGTTGTTATACTAAACAACTGAGTAATGATGAAAGCTATGCTAACAAAAGAAAAAAAAAAGGTAATTATGTCATAAAGAATCACACGGAGAGAATGAATGATGATATTCATATTATGTTGTCAACGTTATTCTACCGTGTTCTTTCATTCTTTACACATACATAGTTTGCATTGCATAATCTAACACATTCTTTTTCCACCAATAGAATTGCCTGTTAATGACTCAAACAACAACAACAATCATCATGTGCTATCCGTTTCTTCCTTTTCTTCTTTCGAAAACAAAATATTCCATCCACAATCGCCTAGTCATCAATATCGCAAAAATATTACTTACATAAATGACATATCATATCCACAATCGACTATCATACCTCGACTTTTAACAACAACAACAACAACAACCAAAAAAATGCTTGTTTGTGAACCAAAACCTGTAATTGATAATAATAATGAAAATCAACAAGAAGACAAAACAAATTCGTCTAATTATATAACTTCTGCTCAATTATCTGCTTATATGACATCTGTAATTAATATACAAAATGAAAAAATATTAATAATTGATTGTGGTCTACCATTGCGATATAATGAACGTCGTATAAAAGAATCATTTTTATTAAATATTAATGATAAATTATCTCGAAAACGTTTAATGAGTCGTGGTTTAAAAAATTTTCTTAATGAAAATCAATTAAATCGTTTAAATCAATCTGAAATAATTATTCTTTATGATGATTCAATACATCCATCATCAACATCATGTTCAAATTCAACAATAACAAAAGATATTTCATCATCTATTAAATGTATATTAAATGAATTAAAACAATATGATTCAAATAAAACAATTTATATTCTTCAATCATCATTTGAAGAATTTTATCAACATTATCCAACATTTTGTTATATTAGTTCAACAAATTCTATTTCTAATAATGATAATACATCATCTATTTTAACAACAGATATTGATTCTTATACGATGTCTGAAGTATTACCCGGTCTTTATCTTGGTAATGCATATGATGCACAAAATATAAATTTATTAAAAGAAAATAATATTAAATCAATAATTAATATATCAAAATCAATACCATGTTATTATGAAAATGAAACATTATTTGATTATTTTCAATTACCTTGTAATGATTCTGGTCAAGAAAATATTCTTCAATATTTTGATAAAACATTTGAATATATAAAAGACAAATTATTTTTAAATGAAAATATTCTTATTCATTGTCAAGGTGGAATAAGTCGTAGTCCATCATTTACTATTGGTTATTTAATGAAATATCATTCAAAAACATTTGATCAAGCATATTCATTTGTTAAAGAAAAAAGACAAATAATTAATCCAAATTTAGGTTTTCTTACTCAATTAACACGTTATGAACAAATGATAACATCAACTATGCAGTAAAATGTTTTCTTTTTCTTTTGTTGTTAGATTTCTTTTTTTTTTGTCTTTTCAATTCATCCGATGTCTGTGTTTATGTATGTCAGATACGACGTTATATTTTTGCTAATGGAATAGTAATGAAATTGATTTTTCACTATTCTAAGTCGTCAAATACATGCATTGGTGTCTAAACCTCGTGTGTACAAAAATATATATATATTGAATAGCAAATGAATCAAAAAAACAAAGATTGTAATTTTAACAAATCTTAAGTAAACATTTCATTAAATGCAAATTTCATTATTTTTATATTTGCTATTATTCAATTTGTTTTTATTATTAATAATATTTATGAATGTATGTCAAGTGATACTTGAGTCATAAACGAATATTAAATGTACTTTAATATTGTATCTAACATCATGACACGACATTATGCTTTGGTTAAGTAGTTTTTTTTTTCACTATTATTTATTTAATAAACCAGGACTTACAAAAAAAATATTTACTCGGGTACAATAAATTCTTATGAATCATATTGAAAATAATTAACACAATTTTGATTATACAAACCAAGAATCAATATTTTTTTTACGAAAGATGGTTGAAATCAAAAGCATAAATAACAAAATATCGAAAATTTTAAACATTTTTTGAAATATCGATTCTTATTTTAACAAACAAAATGAAAATGAAATAAGAAATAAATTCTTCAACAGCTATTCATTTTGTTTTCTATTATGATCAATAATAATGAAACTATACTTTTAGTCAATTAGAATGTTTTTCTTTAACCATTAGTAATGGAAATAAAAATGAGTGTGATGACATTCTCTTTCGTTACTATTGCAATGTGTATTTTATTATGATTAATATTGACAAACTGGAAGAGTAACGTTACCGCCACCCTAGGTATAGATGTTCATTGCATTACTCGATCATTCTAGTTATAACATAGAACACAAGCTTATATACGAGGAGGGAGAGAGGAGTGAGTCGGTATGTATTATCATTCATGAGGTCAGAGTGTCTAGCCGTATAGTGACCGAATGCTCTTACATCTTTGAACTGATAGAAGATGAAGATAGGTTGTATTCTTATTATGGGTATACTAATGAAAACTTTTTGTATTCAACATCTAACAAAAATTTTTAATTATATTACATTTTTCAAACTTGTTTTTTCCTCAAAAATATTCGATTTAGTTAGATAGATAAATAAAAATAAAAAGAAAGAAATCACATAAAATTGCATCAGACAATGAGTAATTCAAGTGATTTATTACTCAATGACTGTCCTCTTCAGTTTAAATTCTCTTTAGCTTTATATTTTTCTCTTTTTTCTTCTGCCAATGACACTAGAATTAAAAGTAATACCGGGAATAAACATGGGAATTTCGGTACATATGTATACGTCAATACTTATCTCGTCATGACAATACAATATCATCTTTCGAATAAAACTCTATTTGTAAAGTTTTCATAGATTATATTTCCAGTGGGCATTTTTGTTTGGATTTCTATATTAGTCATTATGCTACGTCATCTTATTGTTTCTATCATTTTCCTTTTAATTCTGCGTAGTAATAGATGACAATGGAAGAAATAATATGTGGGAGAGCCCACAATATTATTTTATTCTTGTATTAATTTGTCAATGTAGAAAAGATATACATATAACTTTTGTTATGATTAAGATATCTTTCAATACTTCGAGAAGGATGATATGTTGCTATAAATAACATTGATTCGAATGATTCATTATTTTGTAATATAATTATTGTTTTAGAAATTGTCAAGAATGAATGATGTCAATGTACTTTTTTTTTTTGACAGTACTGCGTTGTTTTAAAACTTCTATTGTGGGATGTAACATATGTTCCATTAAAAAAAAAAAGAATATTTATTTTATATTTCAAGATATAATATCTTCTGAACGATAGCATTTATTAATTTGCAAACATTTTTACTATAAAGCTAAAACCAAGAAATATTATTAGATATAAAATTTGATTATTTCTGAAGCAAACAAGTGATCAGTCAAAGACCGATTTTTTCTCAAATGACTGATTGCATATAAGAAAAAAAATTTTTTTTCATTAACTTCTTTCGTTTTCTTACGTAAATCAAATCTTAAGATGTTCATATTTTGACTATCTTTGATTAAAAGAGAAATTGTACGAATAATTTTATATCAAAAAACAACATTCTGCGACTTTAACTTTACAATAAAGAAGAATGTCAATTTAAAAAGTGTTGTCATTCAGAAGATATTAAAATACAAACAATTCAAAATATCCGGAAATGTTCGCTTTTCTTTTTACGCATAGTTAGATCGAGAGAATTGAGTTATCTGTAGAAAGTACTTCTCAAATTTTAAAAAAATAGATTCATCAAAAAAAATACAAAAAAAGAATCCTACAATCTTGAATCTTATACTTCATTACAAGAGAAAATATTAATTTTTCATTCAACCGTGAAATTAGAAATTATTTTTCATGCTTTATATCTGTGTAAATATTTTTTTTTTACATCATGACTCAAAATTGTCTAGGAGGAAATAATCTTAATACTACTTTTTCCTAGGTAATGTTGAGTCATGAAGTACGGTACATATTAATACAATTACAAAGAATGAAAAATACTTTTTTGTTTTCACGTTTACATAAAAAATTGACATTTTTTTTTTTTGCTGTAATGAAATTCAAGTTTCGAGATTTTACGATTCTTTTTTATTTTTTGAAGAACCTACTTTTTAAAAGTGGAGAGGCACTTTCTGTAGATAATTCATTTCTCTCAATTCTATCATGCATACAAAGAAAAAAAAATTATAAATTTCAGGACATTTTGAATTGCGCACTTTTTAAATCGAAGATATTTTGCGTATTATATTTTCAAATGCGTAATAATTATTTAGTATGCATTACAAACAAATAGCTAATATGGAATAAAAAAAAAAAAATTTTATTGTCAAGATTATTTTATTCTAGTTCAAGACTAGAATTAATTAATCATATCTAGCCAATTGGATAAATTTGATTATCATTACAAGGCCGTCGTTTCCATCGTCGCCAAAATTTTTTTAATAAAACATTTTTTGTTTGACGACGAAATCGCCATGAAGATGCCATAAATATATAGAAAGATCCCTAAACAAAAATACATTATTTAATATAACAAACAAACAAACAAAAAGGAGAAGTTATAATTCATAAAATCTTACTGCATAATTTAAATTGAAAAATGAACTGATAATTCTTTCGACTAGATTATCAACTGTATGTCGAGAATGATTCGTTTTCTCAACATTTGGAAGATATATATACATTCTTTGAATAGCATAAGGTAATGTTAAAAAAACAAATACAATAATACGAGCAAGTACCATTGCTGTTAATTGTTGATTAAGTCGTCGACGAACAAGTGGCATTTGCAATTGAACTATTCGTCGAACATTACGATATGCTAAGATACTAAATAATGATGCAATAAATATAGGTAAAATTCCAGATAAAATTGGATAATAAAAATAAGATAAATATCGAGACATAATTGAATTGAAAATACGACAGAAAGAATCTTGAATTTCCAAAAAAATACAAAATGGAATGCTATGTAATAATGAAATACTCATCGCTGTAAATATAAGAATTTCAGTTAATTTAATTGTACTTAATTTTCTTAAATTAAATTGAGGACTTGTTGAAAGATATTGATCAAATGCAGAACAACATATTGCAGAAAATGATATTAATGTACATATTGTAATCATCATACCACGAAATTTACACCAGAAAAGTATTAAATTTGCTGGATCAATTGTATATATGGATATTAATAAATATATAAGAAAAAATATAATTAATTGACATATATTTGATATTGATTCGGTTATAAAATATAAAATACATTGATTTTTTTGAAAGATTTTTAAATCAGTAAAAACTAGGATATTAAGAAAATTTCCAATAATTCCAATAAAAAATATAAAATAATTTGTATAGAGTGTATATTTTTCACCGATAAGAAGAATATTTGTAATCTTAGAAGTCATTATGATTCTTTTAAAATATTTTTCTTACTGAATATTTTCTTCTTTATATTCTTTTTTTCTTGTAGAAAAAAAAAGAAAGTATTTTGACTTATGCTCTTCAGCATCGAGTAAAACCCATGTTTCTTTTCCACAAAGAGAAAACTTTTCTTTTCATTCTTAAATTAGTATTTTATTAAGCTTATATGCAAGACATAAACTATCATTTCTTTATATTTATAAAACAAACATGAAATAAAATTTTCGTTAGAACATTTAATCGTATAAAAATAAACAATAACTTCTGTAATAAATATTTTTAGAACAATATGTAAATTTATTAACTTAATTAAATAATTTATCTTCATTATTTCGCTGTGAATGGTTCATTTTTGTAATCAAGAAAAGTTGTAGAGAGGGAGCGCAGTCCTCTGACTATGTCTGTAGAAGAAGCAGATACCCTCTAGTGATGCTTGAGTTTGTTTAAATAATAGATCCATACACCGAGTTCGTATATATTTAAATAAACTGCAAAAGCACTATTCAAAGCTATTATCTCTAACTGAAATACAAAATCTAGTTTTCTTTATATCTAGAAAAACATGATACAATGATTCGTTTTTTTGATAACATCGATTTCTTAAATCATTAATAGTCGTTTTATAAACATGTGTGTTTTGATATATTTTGCTAATGAGAAAACATTTTTTTTTAACGATTCTATTTTCTGTAAAATCCATTAAAAGAAGCTATGGGACATGTCAAACTTATTTTATTGATTAATTGTTGGATAATCCAAAGAAAAATGAATTAACAATCTATTTGCTTAAGATTACATATCACACAGTAAGTGTTGTTAAGTGCATTTGCAACTTTGAAGTGACATTCGAATCATCTTGAGTCTAAACATGACAGTTGTATTTATTAAGCGATGCAGATAGTGACCGTGTAATTAACATTCAAGAAAATCAAGTAATTAAAAAATAATCGTTGCATAATGCCTTTCTATATGTAGAAAACAAGGATTAAATTTTTATAATTCAGTTGAAGGTGATAGCTTTTGAAGTCTGCTCGTATAAATAAAAACTCACGAAGAAACTTTCCGAGGTGCTAAAAAACTTTTGAGCCCAAATTTTATCCATAAATAGAGAATATATAGACTAGAAAAAGCCTAAGAAGATATGAGTGCAAGTTGAGATTTGGCTCAGATATCGACTTTTTACTATAGTTTTCCTATGAGATCCCATTTTCCCCATAAAATCAAAGTTTCGAGTTTTGACGTGAAACTTTGCCCATATCAAGACCTCAACTAGAATAGTCCATCTACAAAGTTTCAGAATATTTGGACTAAGCATTCTCGAGATATGAGTCTGTTAGCATAAACACAGTTTTTTACAAATATTTTTGTATGCAAAGATATTTTGAAAACATTATATCTCGAGAATGCTTAGTCCAAATATTCTGAAACTTTGTAGATGGGCTACTCTAATTGAGGTCTTGATATGGGCAAAGTTTCACGCCAAAACTCGAAACTTTGATTTTATGGGGAAAATGGAATCCGATAGGAAAACTATAGTAAAAAGTCGATATCTCAGCCAAATCTCAACTTGCACCCATATCTTCTTAGGCTTTTTCTAGTCTATATATTCTCTATTTATGTATAAAATGTAGGCTCAAAAGTTTTTTGACACCTCGGGAGGTTCCCTCGTGAGATCATTCTATACGGAATGGTCTCAGTATTTTGATTTTTTAAATGTATATAAAAGAGGAAAAAGATTTAAAAATACATTTCCTTACACAGTTTTTTGAGCTCTATCCAACCATATATAAATCATCGAGAAAAAAATGTTAACTGAAATTTTGAGTTTTTTCGACCTTACACAGACATTACTATACATACTAGTCAAACTAGTTTATTTTTTTTACGATTTTTTTTGATATTAGAAGAATTAATAAACACAACATTTAACATTTGTATACTCTAAGTGGTAGAATAACAATAATATCTTGTCTTAACATAGGTGTACATATAACAAAATGAAGCATAGAAAAAAAATGATTACAAAAGTCATCGTCATTGCATTACGTTAATCAAATCGATTTCTATTCAAAATAAGAAGCCTGTTCGAAGAATTTTTTTCTTCGTTGGATACTTCAAACGGTTGGCTACAAAACGTCTATAGAATGTTTCTTTGAATATAGTATATATTCGCAGAGAAATAAAGAACAATTAGGTGATCCTCAACTTTTTGTCGTTTTCTCGTCATCGCATTGCGCTCGTACAAGCTGATATATGAATCACAAATAATTTGCTTTTCCTATCTTTCACGTGTCGTCGACTTTTATTATTTTTTCTTTTCTTTGTTTTATACTTCTAGTTAAACACAAAGCGCACAATAAAAAAAAATGACCTCAACTTCAACTACGAAAACTTTTTCATTATCATCATGTGATTGGATAGGTTTTGATTTGGATCATACATTAATTCGTTATCGTTTACTTGAACTTCATACATTAATTTATCAATCACTCTGTCAATATCTCGTTGATACACATCAATACAATTCTCATTTACTTGAAATTCCGTATGATAATTATTTTGGTGTTAAAGCTTTAATTTATGATAGTCTGTATGGAAATTTAATCCAATTAGATTCAAATGGATTAGTTCATACAGCATTACATGGTGTTAATACACGTTTATCATCTGAAAAAATTAAAGAAATTTATCCAAATGCATTCGAAGCTATTGAAGAAGATACTAGTAAACGTTTTTTATGTATTTTTACGTATTTTGAACATAGTGTATCATATTTAATAGCAAATATTGTTGATTTAATTGATAAAGAAAATTTATATGAAAAATCTTCAAAAAATCAAATTAATTTAATGAAAAAATATAATTTTTTTCTAATAGATCTTAATAACGGATTTAATTATTTATTTAATGATTTTCAACGTGGAAATTATTTTTCATCAATACGTGAAAATCCAAATAAATTTATATATAAACGTTTAGATGTTCGACAATGGTTAGAAAAATTAAAAAAATCAAATAAAAAATTATTTTTAGCAACAAATTCACGTTTTGATTATACAAATTTATTAACAACTTATGCATTTGGTAATGATTGGCAAAATCTATTTGATTTTATTATTGTTGATTGTAAAAAACCTTCATTTTTTAATAATTTAAATAAACAATCATTTTATCGAGTTATTAATGATAATAATATAATACCAGTTACTATTGATGAAATAATTAAAAATTTTAATCAAAATTATATTTATTCATTAGGTAATAGTGAAGATTTACATTTAATTATGAGTCAAATAAGTAATAAAGATCCTATAGTTATATATTTTGGTGATCATATTAAATCCGATATAAATGCATTAAAACGTCATACAAATTGGTTAGCTGGAATTATAATTGAAGAACTTGAATTTGATTTACCACCAACAATAATTCATACAACTAAACATCATTTATCAAATCGATTATTAATAAATGATGAATCTTATATTAAAGGAAATCGATCAAAATTTTTTTCTAGTTTTTTTACTTCACCTTCTGATTCAATTATTTTCGATCATGATAATATAAATCAAACTAAATTTGAACAAACTGAACCTGATACTATATTACCATCTTTATCATCTTATTGGTATACATATATAACAAAACATGCACATTTAAGTTTAAGTTGTTTAAGTGTATTAGCAAATCATTTAGATTTAGATCATCAATTTCAACATGATGAAAATACTAAACATTTTATTTTATTACAGAAAAGTGAATAAATAAATAGTATCATTTATTGTCCGATCACTACGCAATGACTATTTTTTGTTCTATGGGTGCATAGAAATAATGAAAGAAAACAAAAATATGTGCCTTGTATTTTGTTTTTACTAACGTAATATGCATGTGTTTTGTTTCTTCAAGGTTAAGTGTTAAAATAAATGTCGGAATAAATTTATGTCAACAAGACTATTTTTCTCGAAAACCAAAATTTGGCAAGTCATATAAAAATTGTTGAAAGGAGACAAAACAAATATTTAAAATTAATAGAGACAAGTTTTCTAGGATCATATTTACAAATATTAGTTTCCATTGATCATCGACCACCAAGGTTTTTATCAATGGATTTCTTAATTAGTATTGTCTTGCTCTATTGTTAATACTAGTTGTGTACTCAAAAAGTGAGTACACTCTAGAATCGGTCAGTGTGTCCGGCCGTCCGGCCGGCCGTCCGGCCGTTAACACGATAACTTTCGAAAGGAGAGTCCGATCGCGATGAAATTTTCTGCACAGTTCAGTCTTAACAATATCTCAGTCGAGTTCGAAGATGAGAAGGATTGGCCGAGCCCTTCCTGAGTTATTGCAAAAATACTCATTTTTCCCTGCACCTTCCCTATGGAAAGATCGACCCATCCCCACTTTCGTAAAAGACTTTTCCTATCATAGTCAACTAAAACCCCAACTATTATATACCATTCGATAGAGAATTTCACGAGCTACAAAATGGTATATAAAACATAAGGAAACAAGAAAGCCAACTCAGCTATTGCAAAGATAATTAATCGGAATTCGGTTCTGTTTTTGTCACGCTCTAATTGATCCACAAATAGAGCTCTATCTTTCGATCACAGAGATGATAGTTCGAGGTTTTCTGGGGTGGAGAACTCGAATCTGTGCTCTATTCGCCTCGAAATCCCATTGGTTGAACAGTAACCAATAGAAATCAAGTTATAGGAAAAACGACTTTCTTAGGGTAAACCAAGGTGAAGAGTTCAAATCTGAGCTGTATTCATCCCCAAATCCTATTGGTTGAGCAGTAGCCAATAGAAATCAAGTGTTTATAGATAAGGTTTGCCAGAATAATTTTTATATCCCCATATTCTAGAACGACTCATCTGTCTCATTCACTTTTTGAAGTACACATAACTCTCGGATTTAAATCCGAAGTTTCCGCATTTATTTTATATAACACAGCACAATAACAATAATAATAATAATAATAGAAGATTTTTATTATTCTACCTAGTAAAATGTTTATCGAAAAGGAACAAAAGATAAAAGAAATCGTTTAATCTGATTTCAAAGTAATAGTTTGATCATTTTTATAATAGTGAATACATATTTTCATAGATATCAAAGATCCTTACAACACTTAATTAAATTTATTCATAGTAAAAATGAACCATATTTCTAAAGGAAGAATGTGTAATCTGAATAGATTAATATGATGCAATCGTCTTGCATATGTAATTGCATCATAGTGGGGATAGGCCCATGTATTGCGAAAAACTGCAATACATGTTCTCAATGTTTGATCATTGTTTTTTTCTTCGAAATTAGTTTTTTGCAAGGTTATTCTACCGAGTTTCGATATTAGTTAAATGATTAAATATTGATTTCATATAGATTGTGCAAGATTTTAGTGTATATAAGTGTTTTCTTTTCTCTCTACTGTACAGAAAGAAAAAAATAATGACATCGTCATATTTAGTTACTATTCCAAAAGCTGATCTTAAGTTGAAAACAGTAAAAGGTAAATTTGTTGCTTTTGTTTTTTGAAAATAATAATTTATTCTTAATTTGTTTTTCGAAATGAGTAAGTATTTTGATAAATTTCAAGAATAAAATTTCTTTGTTTATAAGGATATTTCATGTTGTTTTGTATTAATAATATTTTTTGTTTAGATTTTATTACTGGTATATTTATTGATAATTCTGGTTCAACATCATCTCAATTGGTTTCAATAGGAAAAAATGTTTTACAAGCTGAATTAAGTATTTGTCAAGTTACTCAATTTGATCATATTGTTCTTTGGAATACAACAGCTAAATTATATACAAATATTGAAACAGCACATCCAGAGGGTGGTACAAATCCAACGACAATATTTCAAAATGAATCAACGAAAAATGCATTTAATAAATCTGATGTTATTGTTTTTGTTACCGATGGAGAAATTGATAATAATAGTGTCACACAGGTAACAAAGAGAAAAAAAAATTGAGAATTTGAATTTTCTATATCACATTGAGACATTTGAGTATTGAAGACAATTATTTTTGTGTCTTCAATTACATTAAAATAGCTTATTCTCAATTTCTTTTCCTACGCGCAGATTTCATATTTCGTTGGTATGTACTGTTAATCATATAGATTATATTTTGAATTTCTATCTACCAAAACTATAGAGATGAACCATGTTAGAGGTTTTTTAAAGCTTCAATAATTGCTAATGTTTTTTCTTGATTCTCTTCTAATCTTATTTAAAAAAATCTTAATCATTTCACAGAAATCTGAAAAATAGATATCGAGATCTATATTCTTTTTCGTTGACCTGCTAACATACAGGATGTCTTGGAAATCACCTACAGAAAAACAATTTGTATATCTCCATTGTATTTTGGCCACATAAGAGTGAGTGCTCGGACGATTCATTGCGGGTATACTGATAAAGATCTTTTGTGGGTCCTCACCTACATCCTACTCTTATTGAAAAAGTTTTCGGTATTTTGATTTGATTTTATGATAGGAACAGAGACAAGATCTGAAATATTCACAAAAACAAATTCTTGTTAAAGCCTATCTCTAGGCAAAGTTTCAAACTGAAATTCGAAAATCAGTTTTTCTAGTACTATTGAGAGGATTACAGCATTCGTTTAAAAAGTGCAGTCTCTCCGTAGTAATAATCTAAGGGTACGAACTCTTTTCAGGATGTAATTTTTAAATACAAAAGATTTAAATTTAATATCAAATTTAACTGAAAATGACTGGAAAACATTAATACAATATGGAAAAATAGGTAATAAATTACATGAATTACGAATATTTGTTTCTCATATGAAAAATCAATCAATAGAAATTGATAAAGAAAAATTAAAATTAAATTTTAATTTTAAATATTTAAAACAACGTGATGAAATTATTTCAAATATTGTTAAATTAAAATTAAATGAAATTAATAATTCAATTGAATTAAATCAATATCGTCAACAACTTCATCATATATCAGATCAAGCTAAAATTGAAGAAATTGAATATCTTAAATATATTAATTTAAATCTTCATCAAAATCGTCAATATTGGAATAATATACAAAATTTAATTCATGAACAAGAAATTGGTTCTTATTCAATTAATGATTTTACATTTTCTTCAAATCGTGCTAATCGAGCAAAATTATTAACAATAAATGATGATGAATATTCTGATATAATTAATATTTTAGATCATACAAATGTTCCATTATTTCAATGTGCTATTTGTATGGAACAAGGACCATTTGTACTTTGGTTAAAAATACCAAATAATCTTAATGATACAACAAATGATTTTATTATTAATTTTCCATTAGAAGGAAATGAAAATTTAATTAATTGTATTGTTTCAAATCCAGTTTGTGGTTTTTGTGCTAAATCTTATATAAATGCAACAATAAACAATTCAAATCAATTAATAACTCTTTATCGAGAATCATGTGCTGGTTTTATTCCATTAAATTGGTCAATAGAATCAAATCGAAAATTTGCAAATAATATACTTTATCAAATTTTAACAGGAAATAAAATTCTTCATCATATTCAAATGTTACTTTTATCTATAATTGATGATTATAAATCAAATTGGTTTAATCAAGAAATAAAAGATTATTTTATTAAACAAATTATTGAAAATATTTATACAACTGATTCATTTTCTGAAGAAGGTATTCGAATGATATTTATTAATGCATTAAAAGAAATTATAAAACAAGAAGATAAATTATTACGACAACCAATTAATGCTTTTTGTAGAATTTTAAATTTTAATTATATTTTTCATCAACTTGATAAAGAAATAATTCAAATACTTTTAAGAAAACGTTTTACACTTATGTGTATAGAAAATCAATGTTCAAAAACAAAATTTGGTCCTGAACATTTAAGTATTGTTAAACAACAATTATATGATATTCTTTTTGATACATTATGTGGAATTCCTCGTCAAAATTCATTGAAACAAATCGATATTAATAACGAAAAATTAAAAGAATTTCTAGGCGAATCTTACGATACTGCTATGCATTCTATTGATCAAATTGCTAGAAATATAGGTGCTGATCGTTCAACAATACTTCCTAAAGAAATTGTATCATTTAGTTTATATCTTTTAACAACTGTATCTATACATGATCGACCTATGAAATTATATACTGATTTTGCTTTAAAACATCGACCATTTCGTGACAATATGCAAATTGAATGGTCAGAATTTGAAAAGAAGGTAAATGAAGATGTATTTGGTCATTATCATTCTATGTCTGTATCCGTTATACCTGACTATGCAATTAATCTTGGACAATTTTCTTGTCCAAGTAAATTATTTTTTAATACTGAACCATTATGGAGACAAGATATTGAAAATAAACGTATTAATGTAACGAAGTTGATGAATGAAATCAAGATAAATCTTGATAATAAACTTAAAGATTATTACGGTAATGCGATACCAAATACATCAAGTGCACATTGTCTTTTACATAGAATTGTTGCTGATGTACTTGAAAATAAATATCCTTATGACGAATTAATGAATGAACAAATGATTATAGATTGTATAATTCATATTGGTCGAACTGCAGGAAGAAAAGGAAATATTTATGCTGATTATGTTTTTCCATATATTGTTTTAACAATTGAACATTATTTAAAATTTCGTAAAACAACAAAAAATATGACTAAACCCAATGATGATGCGTTATCACGTTCATATCAATATAAAATTATAGCCGAATTAGTTGCT